GATAAATTGTGGAAACAAAGCTCTTTCGGCTTTTTCGACAGACTGGTAAATGCAGAAGGCATATATATAATAAACTAGTATTAGATTTAACAAGCCAGTATTTATGTTCCCTCATAATTGGTCAAGACGTGGACATAGATTAGTCAAATGAAACAGGAAACGAATTCAGAATAGCGATAACGGAAATAAAACATTTCCAAAGAGTAACAAAAACATACTAAAAACTGAAGAAACACTCAATATTTTTGTTATTTTGAGTCCCATGGGAATGAATATAGACGAGGGAAAATGAAAAATAAGATAGAAGTGTTAGCCAGTATTTGGAAAAATAGATTATATTACTGAACAAAAAAAATAACTTTAGTAATAAAGGAATGTCATTCAAGGAAAATGTCTTTAGGTGAAGGCCCAAGGTGAGGTCACCAGGTTAAATAAAGGTGAAAATGTTTTGAAACCTGTCTTCAGTCATTCGAAAAATTCATCAAATCTTTTGTTTGAATTCTCAATAATATCGGAGCGCGAGAGAAAAGATTCGGCTTTTGACGCCAATGTATGTCAAGCCATTTTCGGTACTGACAAAGACTGTAACCAATCAATATATGATTTCAAAGTATGGTGTAAAAAGTAGACGCTTTTTCTGAGACGGTTTGGAAATAAGTATTTCATTTAAAGCACAGTATACGGTAAACTGAAAAAGAAAAATTCATCTAACCAGTAAATCGACTTGTAGATAAAATTGTATACTGTTAGCTATTAATGCACACATTTTTGTAGGAATATAATGGGAAATGGATTCAGAGATGCACAAACAACTAACAATATCAAACTTCTTTCGTATATATTTCAAACCTATGAGCATCCATAGTATAGTTGGTGTTTCTTTGCGCACTCTGAAATATTAATGAGAACATAGACATGACAATCAACATCCGTAGGAAACTAGGAAGCGTTGGGATGAAACAAGCGTAATTTGGGACTTCATCACCGCCTTCAAGAAGAAAATGTTAAAGGAGCAAAACAAGACATGTATAAGATAGCTGCTAAGTGAATCACAGAAGGTTCAAAATAGGTTCAGATTAATCCTGCAAGAGAATGGAAAGGCACCTTTACAAAGATTGCATGAAGACCAGGATACTGAAAATGTTCAAGTAGGCATTTGTCTACCTCAATACACTTTAAGGAAAAAAAAACTTCACAGTGGACGTTGTTTAGATCTACCAAAAAGAACGGTATGTCACAGAGTCAACAGGTGTAAACAGTATCCAGAGCAATATACTTGAAGCGACAGTTTATCTCATAACCAAACATACACGATAGGTCATGGTTTTTAGAGCCGTGTTGTCTCTGAGGAGAATAAGATGCCCACATTCATTTGTAAGTTTCAAAAGGTGAATGCGAGGCCTTCCGTTCTTCCTGCTGTAACATGATGTTGTATAGCTCAAGGAAACCTTCCCAGAGGACAGGTATGTGTTGATCCAACCACACAACTTAAAACCGTGCAGGAGTTCTACAATGTTAAAGTTGATTTCTGGTCAGAAAATTTTTTATCGGCCTGCAGCCTGTATCTCCTCTACAACCTATCTGAATATGCGAGACTATGCAGTGCAAGTCGCTTGGGAGCAGAAAATCAATGCGTACTCCAAACTACACATCAATTCCTTCAAAGCTGTTATCAAAGATTCAAAATGTCCAATGAATTTGTAGATATAACTTGTGCTTTCCGATGTCACTGTAAGGTCGTAATTGAAAATAATGAAAGCCGCATTGAATAAATCAATCGTTTTTATGTCTTCTATTTTATTAATAACCTTTTCTATTAATTTCAAATATTTTAACAATTTAGCAAATTTTGTTTTCCCACTTTGTACTTTCTTCTCTTACAAAGAAGCATCCAAGAGAAAAAAAGCAAAAGATGGAGAAGAAACAAGAAAAAAATTAAAGTTCTAGGGAAGATAAAGTAAAGAAACATTTCTACGTATTTTCATAGATAATACAAACCACAAGAAAATGAAAATTAGAAGATAAGGATGTAGAAGAGAAGGGTATGTAGAGGAGAAGGGGATATAGTGGGGAGGAGATATGGATGTAGAGAGGAGAGGGTAATATGGATGTAGAGGAAATAAGTATGTACAAGAAGGAAGATATGTATGAAGAAGACAGGAGATAAGAATGAATAGAAGAGGAGATATAGATTTAGAGTAGATAAGGATTTAGAGGAGAGGAGATAAGGATGTAGAGGAGAGAGGTATGTAGAATAGAGGAGATAAGGTTGTCGCAGAGAGGAGGATGTGGAGCTGAGGAGATACAGATGTAGACGAAATAAGTATGTAGAGGAGAAGAGATAACTTTGTAGAGGAGATGAGATATGGATGAAAAGATGCAGAGCATAGTATATATTGATGTAGAAGTGATAAACATGCAGAGGAGAGGAGATAAGATTGTAGAAGAGAGAGTGATGTAGAATAATAGAGATATGGATGCAGAGCAGAGTAGATAACATTGTAGAAGATAAGAATGTAGAGAAGATAAGGGTACAGATGAGAGTATATATATATAGGTGTTGTGGAGTGAAAGTACCCCCAGGCCGGTGGCTATATGAACTATCCATTGCTATAAGTGCTTCAGGTAAGACTGCTAGCCGTTTGGAAGCAATCTTCAGACTAATACAGGCGTCGTCAAGGTAAATAACCGAAGCATTACGTATAGAGAATTCTTATACGAATTATGTTATATAAGTAAGAGTATATTATAATAATAGCTATAGATTAGTGGCATTATAATAGGAGAGGAGATATGGATTTAGAGGAGAGAAGACAAGGATGTATAGAAAATAACGATGTAGAGAAGAAAAGAACATGGCTATGCTGTGAGAGAAATAGAAAACAAAAACGAAATACGAGAATCGTAAACTCACAATGGGATAAAGTAAAATAAATGGGTAAATGTAACTGATACTTGACTAGTCATAATTCTAGAAAAGAAAAAAATTCTACTATCTTCAGATTAACCGTCAACTTGGTCTAGGCAAGAAAAAAAGTGTAAAGATTTGTCTTTTCCATTTGGTAGTTTGAATCATAAATGTTATGCTGGAATTTTATGAAGAATTATAATCATTTGCTATTCGAACCAGAATGTTTATCAAAAGGTTAACGTTATCGTTCCTCCGACCTTCACATGTATCCTTTTGTATTCAGTAAACTTCTTGAAAGTTTAAATCAACCTTTCCAATCCACAAGCGTAAATTTTTATCATTCCATTTTTAATATTTATGGAATATTCGATATTAGTTAACACTCACCAATCGTAGTCAGTTTTTTGTCGTATATCCATTCTTCAGTGGAAGAAATGGATAGTCACACAGTCTCACCACCCTTAGGTTTATCACGAGACAATGGAAAGTCAGAGTCACATGATCCAGTTGGTGAAAACGCTGGTTGAGACATATCTGGCTACTTAACGTTTAGGAGTTTAATAATTGAATAATATAGCGCTGAAAAGTCACACATTGTTTTACTGGAAGAAACAGTCAAGTTACACACATTTGAATAAAACCGGTGAACACTAAAGGCACACGGAAATCAGAATGAGAGCAATCTATAATCGTAGATCGAAGGAAAGGTTAAAATTGAAATGTTAAGATTTCCAGATACGTAGATAGACACCTAAAGAAGACCGAAGGCTACAGTTGACAAGAAGCGAGAAAGAAGTGAAAAACAGGTCCTCATGCCACATATACAAGTCCATAGCTATATATCAACGGGTATTCAGACAATTATTGATAGAAACATTATGCCTTCCAGCAAAAATCAATGAATGTAATTTCATTTTCAGTGTTCTCTCTCTATATATATATAGAGAGAGAGAGGGAGAGAACATTATATATATATATATATATATATATATATATATATATATGTGTAACGAAAAATTAAATTTTCCTTTACTAGTCCCTATTTTGAGGGTCGAAACTCAGAGTAGGAACAAATGGGAATAATTGGTTTTATATGTTGCCTTGGGAAAGAAGTTATTCTTTCATGAATAGATAGATTTGAAAACATCCGGGGCGCAGATTTATATTTTGGAAATATTCGATAGCGTTTAAGTTTCTGAAAGAATTACTACTTTTCCAAGCCAACATTTAACTATTTAAGATGTTAAAAATGAAAAGAAAACGGTTAAATTTATAACCTCATGTTATTCAAAATATATAACACACAAATTAATCCAAAATTAAAATAATTTAAATATTAATTTGCAGCAGAAATTTAAGAAATTCTTTTACCCCCCGTTCGTGTATTAGACACTAAATTATATCACTTAGCGTCCTCCATAATTTAAATAGACTTTTCAGTTAACGTTATGAATATTTATGAGCGTTCCTTAAATTTAAAATTTTCGGAAGGCTAAAAATATTTTTGCTCTTGTCTATAAATACTTTTTACAAAATAAAATCCTTGCATATGCCTTGTTAAAGTTCCTCAAAGGATGAAACGCGTTGTCTAGGATATGGAATGTTATATATATATATATATATAAGGTCATCCCATAAGTTCTGTCCGAATTTTAACTTTTTTTTTAAAATGAACGAAATTTAAAGAGTATTTTATAACGTCTAATGGAGCTGAACATTATTTTTATGTTTAGATGCATTTAAACTGATCAAATTTTAGTTCAAAGAACAATAAAATTAAATTTTGTTTCATTAAAACCCTGCTAACATGGAAGTATCCAAGAATCTTTTGAGGCACATAATGCTTTATGAGTTCAAGAAAGGAAACTCAGCAGCCGAAGCGTCTAGAAACATTCACTCAGTTTATGGTGAGGAATGTGTGAATGAAAGAACTTGCAGAAGATGGTTTGCAAAATTCTGAGGTGGAGATTTCACCCTTGACGATGAAGATCGAACCGGACGTCCAGTTGAGTTTGATGAAAAGCTTCTTGAAGCAGCCCTTGAAGAAAATCCTGCTTTATCAGTTGATGAATTGGCAGTGGTTCTCAGTTCAAACCATACAACTGTTCATCGTCATCTTCAACAACTTGGAAAAGTTCCTAAACTTGGAAAATGGGTGCCTCATGAATTGTCTGAAAACAACCTCAAATCCCGAGTTGACATCTGCAGTTCTCTCCATTCTCGCCAACTTGTTTCACCTTTTTTGTATAGACTTGTGACTGGCGACGGAAAATGGATCTTTTATCGAAATGTTAAGCGTCGAAGACAGTGGCTTGGTTAAAGGGGAAGGACCCAGCCACAGCCGAGAAGGGAACTTCATGGGCAAAAGGTGGGATCGCCAAGAAATAATCCACTTTGAATTCTTACCACCTAATAAAACAATTAATGCTCAAATATACTTTCAGCAATTAAAGCGTTTGAACCAAGCTTTGAAGAAAAAAAGAACTGCTCTAGTGAATCGAAAAGGGGTGATGTTTCATCAGGACAATGCGCGACCCCACACAGCAAGAATCACGTCACAAAAGATCGAAGAACTTGGTTGGGAGAAAATTCCTCACCCACCTTATTCTCCCGATCCTGCTCCTTCAGCCTACCATGTATTTCGTAGCTTACAGAATCATTTGGAAGAAACAGCTTTTGTAACACATGAAGAGGTTAAAACTGACATTTGTGAGTTCTTCGAATCAAAGCCAAAAGAATTTTACAGTAATGGAATTAGTAAGCTTGTTAATAGATGGAAGGAAGACATAGATAATCAGGGAAAATACATTGTTGATTGAATCTGTAATTAAATGTAACATTTGGTCACTTGGTTTTTTATACAAAATTCGGACAGAACTTATGGGACGACCTGATATATATATATATATATATATATATATATATATATATATATATATATATATAGGTGCAGTAAGTGTTTGCATGTTTGTACTTGCATTTATGTTTTTACACATCTGTACATGTTTTGGCTTCTGTTTTGTATCATTTCTTAGTTATTATATTGGAGAAGATATTTTAAGTACCAATTTTTGTGCTTCGAAGAATATACATTTTACTGAGTTTCCTGCTTTTCCATCATTGTAAAAAAATTATATTATTTTTCTTGCTTCTTCTCTTGCCTCGAGTTGATAGTTTTCTTCCGTTCCTTTTCATCCTTTAATCGTTCCTTACTTTAATTTACATACTTGATCGCAGAAACCACGCAAGTCGGGCGTTTGATCGACTGCAGTCGTCTATTTTGGCGTAATGTGTTTTGTGTGCCGCCTACTTGCTTTATATTGAATTCCAATCATTGCCATAACAACGTGATTTAATCGTCACACGAAAGACGATGTTTATAGCACTCAAGTCCAAACATTTGCACGCGTCTTCCTATTAACAAATGATGAATAAATAAACAACTCGATCGATGCCAGAGATTTCTATAACTTATGACAGCATTTTGATGTATGATGGCGGCGGCTCTGTTTCTTAGCTAACCCTCAAAAAAGAGAGTTCAGTTATGGGAAACTTGGCAGTTATCGTTGTGCAGCAGTTTTTCGCGCAGAAAGCAGGATTGGAGTGTAAATTTCAGCCGAGGGTGTTGCGTTTGCTTTCGTACAAATACCATTCAGTCAGTGATGTACCATGCTCGATATATATTTCGATACATGAATGCCGAGGCAGATCTTTCCCATAGTAGGTTGCCGTTTTTTTCTGCGGTAGACCAGTTGCCACTCAAGGCTATAGAACCCAGTCTTTCCTGCTCTTTACCCATAGCTGGGGGTGGGCACCTCGGCGTGGTGTAATGGTTAGCAAGCTTGTCTTGCTAGATTAGTTACTACTGAAAAGCGAGTTCGATCCTCACTGGATGCCCCATACTTTCGGCTTTGTGCCACATCTAAGCTACGCTTGGAAAATCTCTACCCATACCTGGGGGAGAAAAAACACTTGAAATCCATCTCTACACCCCCCCAGATATGGTTTGATAGCAGGACATACATGCATGTGTAGTCTTGGTAGGCAACCAATCTAGGACAATGATAACTGAATTCAAGACCAGTTGGTTGTGTGGCTAGCAAGTCCATATAAAATGTACTTGGTGCAGAATGCTGAATCCACAAGCTGCAAGGACTAATGCGGTGAGACTGTTGTATATATATATATATATATATATATATATATATATATATATATATACCGTGTGTCTCCTATCGGTTTTCGGCAAAGTATTCGAGGCTTTAATCAATGCTGAAGAGATTAAGTGGTTAACCTCTCATGACCTACTCTGGGAAAAACAATGACTTCCGTTTTGTCGGGTCTACTGCTGACGTGCTAACGGCCATCACTGAATATCTATAACACGCTTTTCATAATAACGGCGAAGCTTGAGCTGTGGCTCTAGCTATCTCAAAGGCGTTTGACAGAATTTGGAAAGCTTACCTTCTATGTAAGCTCCAGTGCTACGCTATTATGCGACGATTCTTTGATTTAGTTCCTATCAAATCGTGAAATGAAGGTCGTTTTTGAACGGGTCGCTTACAGATCCTTTCACACGAACAAGGATG